GATCTCATTGAAAATACAAACATAGAGCACAACATCTACTCAAATTATATGGCTTTCAAGCTATCTAGAAGAGCTTGTAAATTAAGTTTGGCAGATATCAGATAGGCAATAACTAGTGGCAACAATGTAGTTACATGAAGATGAAGTACAACGTGAAGAGGATGAACAGAATGTTATGAGGTGGTATAATTGAGCAGCATGAATAAAGGTGATAGAAATGGAATTTAATAAGTCAAATGGGTGTAAGTTAGCATGCGTAGGAGTAACTGATTGCCCTTTCCAATAGTGAGGAGTGATTTTCTTTTTTAATTGGATCATACTTCTTCATTGCTGAATTGGATGCTTCTTTTTGCCCTTCTCAAGCACAAAATGTTTAAAACAAGTTTTAAAATATGTAATAATGTAAAATGGAGATAGAAGAGTAATAACAGAAAACTCTTAACACAAAAGGGCAGACTTGATTCTGTCCATAGAAAGCTTTGCAATGCTTTACACTCCTGCCAAAGGAGATACTGGGTAATGGTTTCCAAGATACTAAAGTGATTAAGTTTTGGTATACATGTTGATTTTGCACTTGTCTACTTATGTCCATCAAGGGAATTGTTTTCCTTCTCTCTCCTTTCTCAAACCAATATATTGATCTTAATGCCACATTAAGATGGGTGCTTTAATGCCCATATGACTTTTTTTTACAAGGAGACTGCTTTGGTACACCAGCAGTAAAGTTATTTCAGCAACTGAAATAAAGTATGCACTACAAGAATTATGTTAGTATGCTGTAACAGAATAGTTGAACAGTGAAGTCTGGCCTGTCTATCAATGAGATAAAGTACTTATGTCTAATTTTCAGAAGTGACTTACCCGTGTGAAACCTAAATCATCCATCTGCTTTTGAAAATATTCACCATTAATTTACAAGTTAATGCCAGGCTAAGTAGACTGGAAGCGGATCATTTTTCCAGAAGCAGTATGACTTTATAAAGAGTTAGAAATTAAAAAAAAATAATAATAAAAAAAAGAGTTTGCTTAATTATTTCTTTGAAATTTTATTTTGTTCAGAAAGCAACTGTCGGCACTGCGATGAGAGCTGTGGGAAGTATCTAATCTACTGCTCTGCCATGCACCTCACATAGTTACAGCAAAACCTGTACCTCTCACTCCAAAAAAAGTTTTCAGGAAAGGAACTCAAATTACTTTTTTTTTTTTAACAAAACAAAACAAAACAAAACCCAAAACAACACAAGCAATCCCTATTGCACTGCCTGGAAATGTGTAAATACTTAATACCAATTTTTGAAGGTGTAATGGGGACCCAAAGACATTAAAATCAGTGCCTTTGAAGGCTTCTCCCATGATGCTACAATAGTTTTTGTCATGCGGGTAAAAAATGTCTGTCTCCTCTTTTAAGTAAAATGTCTATCTCCTTCCTTATCACAAGTGGTCTAGTGAATGTCCATATAACTACAAAGAATAAAAATATCATCTATTCTCTTAAAGATTATGAAATACTTATGTGCCCATCACAGTCATCCAGACATAGTCCTCAGGCTTTGTTGAATTCATGACCTCAAACCCTTTTGATTTTAGGAGGCACTAAAGTAATTTGGGGTCTGGGACAGTTCAATCCTAACAAAGATTTTCAAAGGTACCTTTGCTTGTCTTCCTGTGGGTGAACCAACTTTGCTTGCAGATGAACCACTTCCTGCGCTGAACAGTCCCTGAATTCTTTGCTGAGACGTTTTCTGGCAAGAGACAGCCAAGTCCCAGGAACAAAGCATGGATGAGACTTAGAGAGAGTGGTTTCTCTGCTCTGAGGCTAACATCCTCTGTCCATCTATCTGAAGCTTTCAGATACCCATATTGACCCAGGTGTCTAGCACTGGTAGCCAATATGAGGCATACAGAGTTAGAAGCCACTTCTGAAAGTGTTACACCTTGAACTTTTGCTTCAGTCTCTCCATCTGCAAAATGCAGACACCAGTAATTTACTTTAGAGGGCAATTAATATGTTTTTCCCCTACTTCTAATCATACTTATGTGCAAATGCTCTATATTCTGAAACAGGTCTTTAAATTCTCAAACCTGAATACAAAAGGTGTCCCTCTTAAATTGGATTATTTCCTATGGATTGACCCAGAGAGAAAAAAATCCATGCAAACTCCTTTTGACTCGGAAAAACCGATTCTATGCGGCAAGCCAACGTCTTGCAGACAACCTATTTCCCAACTCCAATCCTGATGAGTTTAAGATTTGCATGCAAAAATTTACCAAGTTCTTCATAAATTTGGTTTATAAGAATCATTGTGCTTTACACTTTTTTTTCCAAATAGCGGTAGTTAGACATGGACCTCAAGCCAAGCAGCAGATGTTGGGCTTTCCATGCAGAAGGCGGCTGCCAATGACCCAGAGGATCCCCTCTTACTAATGAGATGCTGCTTTCATACACTTACAGAGTCTGTTAAGTGAGAATAAATTGCAGTGCATGCCACATTCATGTAATTTTAGGACAAATCTGTGCAGGTTGTCTCCTCACAGTGGAAAAGTCTACTGCATTTTGGAAGGGGAAGGAAGCAAAAGGCTTTTCTTTATGGATGGCAAAACACAGCAAGTGCAATGTTGGTAACTCACCCACTGGTGATTATGATGTCTCAGGGACAGAACCAGAATGGGACGCAGAGATTTGACTTCTAAACCCCTGCACTAACTTATTATGTAATAACGTAATCTTGTAATGTACTATTTATGGTTGGCTTAGGCAATCTTACCTAAAAGGCCTCATGAGAAAAGTTACACTCCAATACATATAGATGTGATAAAATCTATCTAGGCTAATCAACAGGCATTTGTACAATTAAAAAATGCCCAGTGAAGGTTGAGGCCATATTAGCTACAGACCCCAGCAGGCTTTCTGAAAGCAACACCAGCCCCAAAGAAGCCTGGTTCAATAAATATGTCCCTAGTCAGAACCATAAAGACTAATACAGGCTGTCTGTCAGATCAAGTTGATGGTTTGCCTGCTTCACACTGGACTGGCATTTCATTGTCTAGACCAAATGTTTGGTAGCATGCACCAGGCTCCCTGGCTCTGTTCTGGTGCAAATTAAATAATTCTCTCGATAAGAAAACCCGCAAATGGACTATTAGTTAGTCTACACTGGGGTCAAGATCATATATGCATATGGATATGAACTGTGTCAGATTTGGCTCCCTCAGCTTCCTCTAGTTCTCTAAGAGCACTGGTCAAGAGACTCGAACAGTAGTAACAAAACACCTTTCTCTCAGGGAACACATGTTGTTCTCCAAAACAGCAAGAACTATAAGCACAGTTAAGCTCAGCCTATGTCAGAACAACTCTTAGAACATGTCCCAGCATAAGCAGCATCTCACCAAAAACACTCCAGTTCACAGATGTTTAAATTTGAGTACCTTCCCCTTTACCATACAGTGGGCACGCAACCAGAAAGTGTCAAAAGACTTAGATCAGAGAAGGACTAGGAAAGAACAACCAACCCTTAATTTACAGCCATGAATTAAGTGGTGGGTGCCAGTGCAGACTGAAGACCACAGACAGAATACTCTTTATGAGACAAATCTGGCAGAAAGAAGAGCTGTATTCTGCAAGGACTGAAGGCTGTCTGCATGAAACAACCCACTGCAGTAATTCCTAACAGAGGTGGCATGAATAGTGGATGTTCATTCTGTATCAGAGGGGAAGTTCCTTAGTTGCCCAATAGACAGCATTTACTTCTCAGTATTTTCTACTCACCAAATGATGCCCAAAGTAACCCCAAGTTGGGCACAAGCTGAGGCCTTGCAGACAGTTTAGCAAGCATGGCTTTTTATAAGACCAAATAGTAGAACTGTCCATTGCCTCAGTATTTTTTGCTTTTATCAGTGCTTCAGCTCTTTCCACAGAGATTCTTACCTTTCATTTAAAAAGTTTCTACCCTTTATGGTTGTGGAGAAAAGCCTGCAAACATGGTTCTAATATAACCTAGTGGGTCAGAAAACAAGCCAAAGAAAAAAACCTCACACTTATTTTTCCTAACAACTAAATTATGATTTTTAAGCTGATGTCACAGAGTTTATGGTAACTTGACTCAAGGTTTTTGAATGACTAAGGTTAGAAGTACTTTAAGATATCAAACTAGCAACCTCCCCAAACAAAATAAACAAAGCTCTCTCCACAGCTATTCCAGAGAAGATTAACTCCTTTCCTGCCAGCTACATCTCTCATTGCTATAAACATGGAAAGCAATGACAGCTTTCAACTAAGTCTCTCTCCAAAAGGCCAGTAGGTCCTGCCTATAACAAACTCTCAAGCCAAGTGATATAATCCTCCCACACTGTGATGTCCATATTCCACCTCCACAATAGAATTACCAGACTTCCAGTTACTCATACCTTCATTGTAAATAAGAAAATGGATGTTAGACTATCAAAAGGCACTTGAGGACTTTCTCAGAGACATTATAAATAATTTAAGCAAATAAGACTAACAAAGAACATGACTGTGTCATTACCCTATGTCTTGTTGGTTCTAGATTGTTCCCAGTGCTCTTGATCAGAACATCGTGTGTGAAGAAGAAAATGCAATTTTAATGAAAAAGCTCCTCTCCCTCCAAAATCAACACAAATGGCCATACAGCATTTCCATCAAGATCAAGTATTTATAATATCAACAATACACTATGACTTTACAATTATCTAAAGGATCTTTTACTTGAAATCATGAAGATCTTGAATCTCCCACTTTCAGTTTATAAAGGTTGCACAATCAGATTCACATACCATGAAACTTCCATTCCCCTTCAGCTCTGTTTTGGTCATCCTTTGTTTAATATCACATTTATCATGGATACATTAATTTGAAAAAAGGCCTCCCACACACATCAAAAATAATCTGCATCACGCTCTATCTTCAAAATTGTTACACAGATTACTCCTGCCCCATGACACACCACAGACATACATAAAAGAAAAACAATGATGTTACTTACTAGGTACTCCAGACACCAGCCGTAACGGACGTAATACTCGGAAAGCCCGCAGTGCTTTAACATCGAATCCGGCACCTTTTCCTCCTATTGAATTCCCCCCATCTGCTTTGGTTGCTTGTTCTAAAATTGCACTAAAAAGCCTGCAAAAAGAAAGAGGAAACAATCTGTAGGCAGACAGCAAGGCTTGGGCTAAACAGGAACAGAGATCATCATCATCATATCACCCAAACTATCTCACAGACCTGTGAAGAGTGTCACACATCTCAGTCGACATTCACATATGGTGGAGGAGAGACAGACTCTTCCCATATGCAATAGCTTAATGGTGATGTCTATACCATTTGCAATACACTTTGTTTCTGGAGCAGACATAAACACGACATACTCCTTCAGCCTAATGGCTTCTTACAGCCAGCTACGGACTACCACAGCGACCAGCCTGCCTGGTAGCACGTGGATGTGTGGTCCCTGCCGTGTGTGCTGGGGCTTGCCGGGTGCTTCAAAATGGCCTTTCTGGCAATGCCTTGTGCTGAATTTAAAGGGTCACCAACAGCAGAGTACGTGGGTCAGATTCTGAAGGCAGCCTTCAGGCTGTCCTTACCAGGCAGTCGGGACTTACTTAGCGGGCGGAAAGGCAAGAAAGCACAAATTTTAGGTTTTGCCCTTTCTGCTGCCAATACTTTGCTGCCTTTATTAACCAACAATCCACCATGGAGAAAAAAATCATCATCCATAATTAATCCAATCATGAATTATCTGTCACCCATTTTACAAGGAATTGAGATTCACCAAGGTCACTGCAGGCAGAACTTGGTGTAAAACTCAGGGATCTTTCAAGGTGCCAATTTTTAGATAAGGGAATATGCTTAGATTATGTGCTTGTGTATCCATTTGTAAATTCCCTGACGCATTGGCTAGGGAAAGTGCAAAACTGTAGGAGTCTTATTATTAGAATGTTTTATTATACCAGTCTTAATGTTTTATCTTGGCTAGTTAGGAGTAGCTGCTTTAAGGAGAAGATGTTTCACTTGGAACGCATTTGAAAAGGCAGAGCAAGGAAGAAAAGACAATGTACTTCTGTGAAAGAGCTGAAGGCTCACCCTATGTGTTAATAAGAACTTGATTTAATAAATTAGCTTTCAGGAAGCAGCTTCCATTTTTCTGGTAAAACATTAGTACCTTTGGGGGAGGACAGATTCCTCATGAATTTGCTAATGACATTGCTTTCAGCCTTAAAGTCATCAGCTTGAACCCAGCCAAATTCAGTAGAGGTTAAAAGCTGTTCCAGTCTAAATGGATGTTTGGCGCTCAGTAGAAAATGCTTGCCTGTGAGTGGCAGAGACCCCTTGGCCCTTAGCTTGCCATGGAGGTACCAGAGGTAACTTTAAAGAAGCTGCCTGGGATGCCAGAAACAGCCTAGTTGGAGTGGCTGGGATTCAGCACTGGCTGATTTCTCTCTCAGACTTTGCAGACTGCAGTGCCTCTGTCAGGTTCTCATCTATACGCCCTGACTGGCATATTCCACAGAGAGCCCCCAAACTGCATATCAAGCAGAGGCTGCGCTGCCTGATTGCTTTGCAAGGAGCTCCAATCCCTGCAGTCCACCGTTAAAACTTACTGATAGAGCCAACAAACAGAGAGAGCTTGCCCTAGATAGAAAAAGAAGGATTCATTTACTGAAGCATCTAAGCCAACACATTTCCCCAGCACTAAATCCGCACAAAAACATGGATTAGGGGAGTGCAAATGCGAAATTAGATTCTTAAGCAGTTTTCAAAAAAAATTCATATAAAGAGTCTTATAAAACTTGTCAGCTGTGACTGAGGAACTCCTAACTGGATCTATTCAAAGCCTCAACTTCAAGCACTGCAGAAAGATTTAACAACTAGGTAACAAGCGTGGGAAAAACTGTGTGTGCCGAGGTTGGATGCTGAGTTTGTAGGTGTTGCAGACTGAGAAGCAGGATGCAGAGAAGACAAAAACAGAGCCTATGAGAAATACTGCATTGACTACAGATATCACAGAGAGAGATAAACAAGGGCTGATGCAAAGAACATGAATTATTGGAATGTATGTATTACTTGAGCTGTGTACACAAATTACACAGTTGCAATTTTCTGCTGGTCTTCATAATAGAAACGCTGTAGGTCAAATTTGGCCTAATGTATTTTCAGTAAGCTAGTGATTAAGCTCTAGAAATATGCCCTATTTCTTATTCAAACGTTTCTATCTTCCTAGTCAACAGAATTCCCATACTAGATGATGAGTGACATACCTATACAACAGTCCCAGTCTCCTGGGATCCTCTGGAGGAAAAAGAATTCACTGCAAAAGGTTTCTTACGCTGCTTTTCAGCTCTCTTGCAATGCTGAAGACAAGAAATCTCAAGGAACTCTGAGTCAGCAACTATACAAAACTGAAAGTCCATTCTCCCGGTCCCCATTATCACTGGCCCCATGTTTTACCAAACAGCAGCTCTTGGCAGCTGGCACCAAAGGCATTTCTCTTGCCACCCATGCAATGGACAAACCATGAGCTGCTCTAGATTTCTGCATTCTAGGAAAAGCTATACACGGCTTAAATTAATTCAAGAGGAGCAGAAACTTGACCAGTAGGATGGCTACTCCATTGGAGCTAGAATGTGCCTTCCCAGACTAATGCAGCTACACTGCAGGCCAGTTGGCCCTGTTTGTGTGCTCCAGCATTGATGTGCCAACCATGCTCTCTTGAGGTACCCACAGTCATCTGCCTACTGTACTTCTGGAATAATTTGCAGTAATTCCTGCTGCTCCTTATTTACAAACCTATGTTTAAACTTGAATTGCATTATTCCTGCTAATCCTCCTCTAAGGCATTTATTCCATGCTTAATATCTCTCCCTGTACTAATTCTGCTTTTTACTAATGCAATACAACTTTTTATTTCTCTCATTTATGTCACTCTCTCTCCTTTTTGTATTGGGGTCTAGACTGTGCCCAATCTGGCGTACTGAATCTCTACTCCACTCCTCAAATTTATAGTACATCTTGCCAATCCTACTTCATCGTCCCTATTGCCTCCTGAGTTAGGGCATGGGCAAATATCTATGACTCAGAGGCTACAACTACCACATGCTTTTTTGGCTGTAACTCATTATGACCCAGAGGGGAGGAAAAAAATAAAATAATAAAATGTCCTGTTCAGAAATAGCACCAATGATAAGACACAGAAGAAACGTAAGGCTTCTGACAGCCCCTGCCATTATCCTCTAATTACGAAAAAACCCCACAACCCATATTCAGTTTGTAGTTTCTATGAGCTCTACAGACTTTCTAGTTTTTCAGCTAATTGTTTTCCAATCCTACAAAAGATGGATAGATGTTAAGCTACTGATACAAAACAGGAGGCCAGAGTCCTTCTACCTGTATTTACATGGGAAAATCTGCTCTTTGCTGAAAACCTCTGGGAAAAGCTTACAGAGGGTATGGTGGAGCGAGGTGCAGTTCTTGCCTTCTCTTCTCAGTAGGTGAGTTAGCTGAAATGTATGCTCCAAGCATGGTGTAAGAACACTGCTGACAGAGAAATCAAAGTCTGGATGGTATAAAAACGCGAGAGGGCTAATCTCTTGTGGCCACTGAAAACCTCACCATTTAAAAAAATAAATAAATACAGAAATCAATTTTATTTCCTTCCAGCTAACTACTTTCCACCAGCCTAAATTCATGCCCCATTTTCATTTGGAGATAGTACTTTCCACTGATGAAGCACAATTAACAGCATCTTGAGTTCTGAATTTCACTTGTGGCATGACTACACCTAAACTAATTTAATTTGACACACATGAACTATAAAGCAGAAAATAAATTTCTGTCACACACATGCATGTATGGACACATTCCACTTTTTTATTTTTACATTTACTTGTGAGGTATGAAGCTAGCCTCACTGTTTTTCTTTCTTATATTTTTTCTGTTTCCCTTTTGACATCTGAAATATCAAAAATGTTTTCACTTTGCTAGATGACCCCAAGAGCAGCATGATAAGGCTGTAACCTGCTCTACAGCTCTTCATCTCTTCCTCTGTGGGGAGGGCGCACTGATTTTTATAACATAAAAAAAGAACTTGTCAAGGGCCTTCAGAATGTAAAGAGAAAACAGAAGGCTTGGTATTTCTAAGGCCAAAAATCAGCAGAAAAACAGCTGAAAGAATCCTCATAGGTATAAAGAAATAGTAAAGTACAATGATTTTTTTTTCACAACGTTTTACAGTTCACCTCTGATTTGTGAGTGTGAAAGTGTTTGGGTCTGCCCTTTAGAAACTCCCCACAGGTCTTCAGAAAGAGATATACTGTGACCACATTTTCCAGTCTGCTTTGAATTTCAGATCCTTCCCAAATACCTTCACCTGCTTACCTTCCCAAGTAAGACTGCCTTTCAAATTATGACACCTTTTTTTCTGGCAGAAGCTATATGTCCTTGGAGAATAACTGTGCTTAGCAGACAAACCACAGCACTTCCAGGAAAGACAGATATTCTTCTAGCACAACATTGTCAAGTTAGCCTTCTCTCAAGAGAAATTTCCTTCAACAGCCTAATATTAAAGGACATCACTATTATATCTGTAAGTTCTAATGTTTTCCAAAAGAGGAACAGTAAAACTTAAGGAAGTAGGAAACAATTTGACTAATCATTAGTGTTTGTGGGTTGTGCCTCATTAGGCATCTTACAGGTGCGATCTCTACTCTTAACTAATAATGTTCTTATCCACAGAGCCTCTGACTGATACCCTCATACAGACATTTTTCTTCAAAGCAGCATTTAATGGTGCTGCTATAGCAGGGTCACGGACTATTTAAAGATAAGCTAGAATCAAGCTTTAAAAGACTTAGCTGGTGAATAAGCAGATCTCCCACACTGCAAGAATGATAAGCTGTTACAAGCCTACAGGTCTAAAGTGCATCCTTTCTCCAGAAAATGTAGCAGTCGTGTTCAGTGCTCCCCTCTGCTGCTGCTGCGTATTCCTATGGCCTTGTTAGAACCACTGACTCTAAAATCCCTTTGGATACCAGGGGACCTATCTTCAGAAGGCAGGGCAAAGCATGCAGGTGCATTGTTACAAATTTTTTTTATAGAAACTGAGCCTTCCCTCTACAATTTATGCTTGGTCCTACACATGTCCATTTTCCTCTTACTCTATTGACTTGTATGTTTTAACATAAATTGAGCCAGTTCTGCTGTATTATCTCTTCAAGATACAGGTGGTAAGCAGTGTATGCTAGGTGGATTTAGAGACAAACAAAGGATCTAAAACCTGTCTTGGTTTTTTCTCCTTTAACTTCTAACAGTACTTGAAGAAGTATTTTCCATCTAGCCTTTCTATTTTATGTAGCAAGGACGATCATCCTTGAAAATGAAGATGATTCCTAAGGCAGAACAAGCACGAATGGCAATTACCACAGTTGTTTGGGGACTTGATGCTTCTGGTATGAGTCCCACACCATCCTTTGCCCCACATAGTAAATAAATGCCTCTGTCCAGTGCTACAGCTGTGTCCAAATTACTCAGCTTTCTCCAATAGCTCCATCAATAGGCAGAAAAAGACACCACAAGGAAACGTTACCAGCACTTGCTTTCTTCCTCCTCTCTCTCTCCCTTTAGAATTTATTTTAAACCTTTTCCATAGGACTTCCTCCTTGACAAAATATTCAAATACACTGAAATTTAAACATAATGTCATTGAGGGGTTTCAGACAGAGCCTAGGAAAAGAAGACAGGGCAGAACAGTAACAGATGGTACCACCACGTAGATTTTGCAGAGCGGTTATGGAGAGAAAAAGCAGTGCACCAGCATAGGCTGTGGTACTGTATGAGTGAGTTTAAACAGATAAACATCAAAGGAACCCATCTGGCCTTGAAGTGGAATCTGTCACTTGAGATTGTTACTATTTAACAGAGACCTTGGGGTCTTGGCTGTGTTTATTATACTCATGTAATCCCTCCCCAGTTACATTTTTTGTTTGCCATCTAGTGACTGAGAGCTGCTGGAGGCAAGAGCAGATAGAAGAGCTGAGAGCTGCAGCTTCTGTCAGTGGCAAGGGAATTAATTTTACTCTGAATATCATCTTGCTGATTAACTGCCCTCGTAGGAAAATTGAAAAGGACTGTACTTAAACTAGATATAATGCTGCCCTGTGATTTCTGGAGCTCTGCTCTTTTGCGTTCCAATGGAAGAAGAAGAGGTAACATGTCCTCTTTAAAAAGTCTCTTTCTCATAAAAATGAAAAGGGAATAATCACATTCACAGGACTTTTGTTCTCCAATCTTTCTTCAACTTAAGCAGCAATTCCCAAGCAGGTGAGATATCTGAGGGCATTCAAAGGCAGAACCAGCTACAGAACTGGACATCAATGCCAGGGTAGGGGCTGGGGATTTTCTGACTTCCGATTACTAATTTGCTGTTGGATCCTCTGGCTGCAGGTAGGAATGAAGGAGAAAAACAATTGGGCAGCACTGCCATAAAGAGAAGCGTTATGCCCATGTGGAGGTAGAGAGGTCTTGGGACTAAGAATAGGTTCCAGCTTGTCCTCCCTCCCCCTCACTGGGAATTCTCCTTCCACCCATTTTTCCCCATGATGACAGAAAGTGGGAGGGATTGGGTGGCACACAGCAGTTTGCTGATGTAATTTTGGGGGGCCACCACAAAAATGGTCAAGGAGCTAGATAGACTTTGATTTGGGGCAGAAATTATGAGGGGGTTTTGATGACTGAGAGCATCCCTTTTGACATTTTCCCTATGAACTGATGCGGGGTTTCCTTGGTAAAGAGGTGAAAAGACTGCAAGTTTTTGTGGGCGATGAAACTCTAACAATGGAGTGGTGGGAGGATGGGACAAATTACTTAAGCAAAGAAATACTTGTTCTCTTTGTCTTCAGGCATAGTTTATCCTTCACCTCTTCCCTTCAACAACCACAATTCAAACCCCTTGCTTATCTCTTACCCTTAGGAAGAAAAAGCAGAAGGTGTTTTACATTGCTTTTATTCGAATGAATTAAATGCCAAGCTTGAACAACATGGAGAGGAATAAGGGGATTAGAAAGGTTGCAGCTCAAAGTGGAAATTTGATCTACAATAGAAAAATTAGTCTTTAAAAAGGTTAAAACATTAAAAGGGTTAAAAATCAAGTGTGGAAATCACCAGCAGAACAGTGCAATTGAACTGAAGAACACATTTTTATTTGTAAGTATGAAAACATGGGATTTAAATTTTTCATCCAACTTTGAGAATAAGAAAGAGTAAAAGTTCACAAGATGGCAGAATTTATTCGTCATCCAACTCTAATCTTAATTAAAGGATCCCACCTAGATTTTTTTTTTAAATATTCATACAGATTTACAAGGGATTTTCTTCCAATTAAGCATATTCAGGCATTTGACTTTGTCCAACAGCCTTGCACTGCTTCCTCTTTTTATCCTGTTCCCAAAAAGCAGTTTAATTTCCATGTCTTGCAAACCATTAAAAGCCTTGGAAAAGGCTAAGCAGCAAGGGATACCACACAGAAAATGTACATCAACTGATTGTCAATCCTTAATCTTTACCCCAAGGTAAATCATTGCTACACACTGAAATTAGCATGAATCAAGTTATACCTGCAGAAGACCAGTGAGTTAACTATCTTTTTAGGTTACACAATAAAACTTGGTAAAATGTGGAACCTGTAGGGGGGCTAACACAGGAGGAACAAATGGTGGTTGTAGGAGGAACATGATGGGCAGCAGCCTCTAACATCACCCATACGTAATGTACCAAGCATTCACCCACCCTCATGCTCCCAAGGGTTGCCAGTATCCCCACGTGTGCAGTGCATTCAAAGACAAAATGTCGGTACTCACCCTACTACCACAATTATAAAATCTAGTAAATTCCAGCCATTGCGGAGGTAAGCGTTGGGGTGAAAGAGAAGTCCATATGCTATTACTTTTAAAAATGCTTCCACTGTAAAAATTATGAGAAAGAGATACTCCACTCGTTCCTGGGGAAGATAAGAGAACAAGAGAGACAATGGTTAGTGCAAGTGACAAAGTGTGGATAAGGACGTTTTCTTCTGTCACAGTCCGCCCAGGTAGCCTCCAACTCACTGCCTAGCCAGTTAGGTACATTTAACATGCACGGCTTGCCAGAGAGCTTTTCTCCTCAGACTTGCATAGTCTGCAGCCAGTTTGACAGGACAGTAGCAGTACATTTTGGTTAGGCTCTGAAATTTGCTGCCCTTGCTTTTGGCAGGGTCTAACCACTGCATAAGCCTGTACAAAGGAGGAGGGGAGAGGGTCAACAGGCACGTTCTAGCACTCAGCTTTCTACAGAGTACATTGCCAAATATTGTCAGAATGAGCTGCATCCAGTCCTTTTCTACCTCTGGAGAGGAAATATTGCTGGATGCAATGCTGTGGAGAGAGATGGGGAGAAATAAAGAGAGGGGCCCACCTGAGACTGATGCATGTGTCAAACTGTACCTTCTTTGGGATTCCCTTTTCTGTTGCTAGGGAATAGGTAGGCTGGATATTGGTGGTAAACGATTTACAGATCAAGCTGACTAATGCTAAAGGCTTTTAGTAATTTCATCAGAAATGTATATGTCTCCATGAAATACAGGCTGCAATTAAGCATATCCAAACAAAGTCACTTCCAGTGACAGTACAGCCTGATTCAGGACAAGCAAGCGGGCTTTTGGAGTCAGTATGCAGGCTCACTCTCTCTCATCTCTGGTGTTTTTAGCCCCAGTATGGAATATGAATAGCAGTGTTGCAGAAATGGTAGGGACCTCCACCTAAGTAGGAGGGAAACTGCAGCATTAGGTAATCACTACAAAAGTGCTGCGTGGCAAGCTGAGTGGGAAATAAGTGTGTGAAAACTAGATGACAGCAAAAGGAGATTAGGTCCCTACAAGGTCAAACTACAAAGTTATTAAAAGTTCACATTAAAGAAATAAAAATTTGAGATAAATACAAATTAAAACATCCTAGGCATTCCTGGTCATATCTTACAGGGTACCCAGCAAGACAATCAGGCAGGTTACTACTTTATTTTTCTTTTCAGCTCCAAACTGCAATTGCCCTGTTCCTCTGTCCAGTTGAGTGCATGTATGACACTTTTATGTGATACAGCAATACAAAATGTGCAGGATTACAAAAAAATCATTCCATCATTTGACAGCTGCCCATGTGAACATCTTCCATTCATCTCCAGGTAATTAACAACTCACTAGCAACCCATTCATCAAAAAAAGGCAACTGCATGTTTACATTAATGTGTTATTTTACACAACTGAGAAATCCCATCTGGCAGTAGCAAGTACACGTTTGTGCTTTAAAATATTACTGTTTTCCCTCAGACAATGCTTTCATAATGCCTGTAGTATTCCCCAATACTTAGTACAGGGAATACCTAAAAAAGAAAAAGTATCATTCTGCAGTTATCTGACCCAGTCGTAAAGCTTTTGAATGGGCCCACAGCACAGAATTTGTTCATTGTTGTCCCAGATGGAGACAGGTCAGCACACTAAGGATTTCCCTCCCCTTGAGCTCAGAGAAGCAAACAACAGCATACAACACTAGTGACTACTATGTCCCCAGCTCTACAAATAGTAAGTGCATTATTTTATTTAGTACAGAAATTGGCACATAAATGCTAACAGCCAGGAGCCCAGCTAGGGGCTTGGCCACAGAAAAGAGCTCCATAATGGCTTGCACACTCCTAGAAGGGACTAACCTGGCAGCCCTTCTCCTTCCACTGCTGCTGACAACAGAATGGGTACTAATTGATGTACAAATCATAGTCAGACAGACCCAAAAAATCAAGCTCTATGCACATACTTGTCAAGTAAGACAAGCTGTCACGAAACCTCTTAAAAAAACAAACAAAAAACCCAACAAAAAACCAAACCACAAAATGATTGTATGATGGGAAGTCTATGCAGTCTTTCTGATTGCCCTGCACCTTTGTGCTGCCACATGCCTCTATCAGCATCGCGCCAGGCCAGACGCAGTAGCTCTGCCTGGGAGGCGATGCCCTACCTCTGACAGCACAAGGTAAAGCCTGTGTAGAGGCTGGGTGAAGATGGAAATGGGCTCTCTGTGTGAAGAACCTGCCCTGAACCAAGAACGGGAGTAGGGAGTGTTGTGCGTGGGATGGACGTAGCCTCAATAGGGATGAATGAACATCTTTTAGGACAGAAACGAAAATTTCTCTTGCTGCAGCCCAGCCCATTAATGGGTCTCACTCCCTGTTTCAGCCAAGGGCTTTCCACAGTTGTGGGCAAGCTCTCTTTCCCTCCCACAAAAAGGGCCACAGTAGGTCCGAAACCACTCTCTCATTCAGACTACCTTTGAGGTTACGCTGTGCGCTCAATTCATCTGGCGTCCCACTCCATAAACAGAGACATGGGCTCATGGAGAAGTGCTGTAGGCCCTAATAGACAGCCTTCCCCTAAAACCTCTCTTGGCGGTCACAGCCTAGACTGATATCAAGAGGACGATGAGGACCCCACCCTCTCATTTAATAACTCCACGTCCAATTTGAAGCAGATCGGCAGAACAATTGATGAGGAAGGCCTAAAGCTGATCCCATGCCCAGTGATTTAACAGCAAGCACTGTCCTTCACCTCCGGGCGCCCTAGGACAAATGCTGCTGCCAGCTTTATCTGGCTTTATGCTTCTTCTGTGGCCACAGTGCTACGCAGGCCTGCCCAGCCAGAAGAGCCTTTCCACTCCATGAATTTCATTGAAATTCCTGTACTAATGCAATGAAAATCCAAGAAAGCAAATACTTGAGAAAATTCTGGAACAACTTTTTAAAAAAAAATATTTAATACTGCACAGAGCAGCCAGTATTTCAACAACTAACAAGTTCCATTTGGTTGGGTTTAGGAGCCTCATACCTTTTTTCCTCTAAAGATGCTTATGGGACTACAGAGTCCTGTTTTGTTATTGTAATAATGCTGTTTGTTGAACCATGTTATTGAAGTAATAATATGCCAAAATATTACACACACGCATATATATACCTATACATAGATATATGCATACGTACATATACAACCACAAGCTGTTTGAATAAATTCCTTACAATGCTGTGTCTAAGGTGGAAAGTTCCATAAAAAATAAAAATCTATAAAAGTCTCTGAAATGAACATAAGATACAGAATGCTAAGCAGAGGAGAGAGATTTTATGATCCTCTGCACTTAAATTAATGATTTCAGGATCTAAAACTGAAGCAAAAATCCTGCTGAGATTAAACAGTGCAGCTACTCCAAGACCATTTCAGGATGCTACTCCTGCTTAGACTCGAGAAGAATTTGAAAAGCCTACAAATTAATTTGTGTTCCCCTTTCTCCTTATACTATAAAACTCAAGAGCCTCCATGAACACAGCATAACTCAGTAATGACGTAGCATAACTGGGTTCCCAGGAACCTGGGTTGCAGTCCCAGTTCTGATGCCACCTTGCCTGGTGAACTCACAGACATGACTTAGCCACCCCCTGCCTCTAGGTTAGAAATGAGAGGAGGACCTGTTGCCATCAGCAGTCACAGAACAATTAATTTGCCTCTGTTAAATGGGCATTTACACTTCTGGCTGCTCATTTGAAGTTTTGCTCTCACAGGTTAGGCAGACTGGGCCCCAGTGTTTCAAGCTCCCACGGGGCATAGCACTGCAAAGTATCCATAACCCCCAGTCCTCTGAGAAGCCAATTTGGTGCCATTTTAAAAGAAACCAAGCTAGACAAATATTGGCATTTCTTTTTGAGAGGTCCCTGCTGACAGGGAGGGAGGGAAGGAGCTGCCCACTACCTTTGTGGGAGGGAAAGGAGAGAGCAACAGCATTGCCCCTTGAAACACAAATCCAAACCACAGCATCAAAAGAGAGGGAACTGACTTTGGAGCTGTGAGAAAGAGAGAACAGTATTTTTCTATTTGTGTCTTAGAAATGGGAACCCTGTTGATGTGGCTGAGATACATGAAGCGTATTGCAGGTTGCAGAATTACAAGGCAGGAGCTTCCTGCTTGGGCAATAGTGATGAAGATGTTTCAAAAACCACAGAAAGAAACCAACAATATATGAGTGGAAGAAGAGGAAGGACAAAAGTTTTAGAAAACTGGCCAGTCTCTGGAGTATACGCAGATGTTCTGGGACTGACTCTACCACTGGTTTTTTGAGTTTGTTTTGTTTTTTGTAGATACAGGACATAAGCATCAGTTACCCTAGCTAACAGATTAGCCAGCACTAACATTGCCAAGAAAAAGAACTGTACATCATCTTAGTCTTAATGAAGAAACAAACATTAACTTACTGTTAAGGCTGTAAGATATATTTCCAAAAGAGGATTACTGTATTAAGTACGAAACCCCTCTAATCCCTTATGCCTTCTGAAGACGTCATATGTTTGTTTTGTTTATAATTTTTAAACTGTACCTAATGACATCCTGCATTCATAAAAGGAGTCTGAAAACAGGAAATCCAAGGAAATTACCGTAGGGTGCCACAAGGCTTTTCTCCTGTCAGGAAAGGAGTGAGTAGACCACTGCTGTTTCTGAGAAATGGTCCTCAGAATGATTCACTGTATCTTGATCCTAGCTCTCCAAACCCCATCCACCCAGCAGCACTACTAGGTTATAACATTTTCTTTGCAAGAGTTACTCAAGGCTCAAATCACAGTCAGGTCCTCACATCTCATACGCCCCAGTCTGAAGAGTTTACAATCTAAAATTCAGTCACAAAAAGTTTTCTCAGACTTTGCTGTCTCGCTCTGCTTGCGCTCTGCTCAGTTTGTTACAGATCATGTTTCAAAAACTAGAGCTTATATATTTGAAGCAATGTGCAGCAAGCCCTGCACAGCTAGAACCTTTATGAAGCTGCCTGTTTGACCTTAGACCATGTTACGTCAGTGTCTGCATTATTATTCCCTAGTGCTTCCTTAAACATAAGAGAATACGTTTCTTCAGTAACGCAAATACTCAGTAGTCCAAGGAAAACA